AAGATGGTGGAAATCCAAGTCAAGCTCATTTGCAAAAGATGAAGAAAGACTCAAGGCTTTTTATAATTGTTTAAGTGCTGATTTTGGAGATTAAATTAGGCCCAAATCAGCCTTATTATTTTTGGCCATCATTATTTTAAATTGTTTGGAATTAAAGAGATAACACTAGTTTGTATTTAGAAAGGATTCCTTAAATCCCTTTCTAAATAGGACTATATTTACTTGCTTTCTAGATTAGGATTATGACTCTTTTTCCCATTGTATTTAGGATTACAATGCTGCCCTATACCTATAAATATGGCACATCCATATCAGTTTTAAGGAGGCTTTAATTCAATAAAATTCTTAAGTTTTGCTTTACACTTGTGTAAGAAACCTTATGGCTAATTGTGGACTCAATTAGTGGCTAGTCGTGGACTCGACTAGCAAATTGATTCGTGGACTCGAATCAATCTTCCTTTCTTCAACCTTAGATTTAGGTTCGTGGACTCGTTCTTGAATCGAAGGAAACTAGATCCGATTCTAGTTGATTGAAGATTGCATCATCGAGGTACTTGAAGCTACAATATGATTCTTCTAAGCCTTTGAGGATTCGAGACAAATGGTTTCTCGTGAGGTCTAAGGTATTTTGATCCATCTCTATCTTTACTTTTGAGAGCATTCTTGGGACAATATTCCATCTTATTTGAATCTTGGACTAGGTTCATATCACACGCACATTAAGCACAAAAACCCACGCACGTTAAGCACAAATCTCACGCACCTTAAGCACAAAATCCACGGCACTTTAAGTTTTAACAACTACTCACATAAGCACAAACTCACGCACATTAACCACAAAAGCTCACGCACATTAAACACAAATCTCACGCGCCTTAAGCACAAAACTTACGTACCTTAAATTTGACTTAGATGAAAAAATTACCAAATTTCCACCGTGTTTTTTTAAAAAAATTTTGGTAATCCTGAACCTTGATTTAAGCGAGATGAATGGCTCAGATTAAACCCAACACCCACACCTAAAACGCACACCTGCATCAGAACCGATTTCCTATGTGTGTGTGTGTGTATATATATATATATATAGTGTAAGGTTCCCGTGCGGTTGATTAATGTGCGTGGGGTTTGTACTCAATGTGCGTGAGTATTGTGCTTAATGTGCCTGAGATTTGTACTTAATGTGCGTGAGTGTGTAATGTTAATGTGCGTAAGTTTTGTACTTAAGGTGTGTGTGTCTTGTTCCTAAGATGCGTGAGTTGTGTGCTTAATGTGCATGAGTGTGTTCTTCATCCACTACTGTGAAAATTATGCGCATCCACAGCTGCATTTTCTTCTTGTTTTTTGTTTCGAAGTAGTGGAGGAATGGATTTTGTCTTGTTTTTAACATAAAATCAGAACAGCCATATGTGCGTTTACATATATCCATCCATTCACACACAATCAGAAAAGCTTCACCAACCTTCTCTTTCTGTTCTGCTTCCTTCTGAGCTCGTAATTCTGAACTCAAGTCACGCACATTAAGCACAATACTCAGGCACATTAAGTACAAAACTCACGCATATTAACATTACACACTCACGCACATTAAGTACAAATCTCAGACACATTAAGCACGCGACTCACGCACACTAAGTATATAACTCACTCACATTAATCTACCACACAACCGCACGGTAAACCATAAATGCACCTGATCCCTTCTATATATATATATATACATATATATATATATATATATATATATATATATATATATATATATATATGTTCATAAACTTAAAGATACAATATTCACTCTATTACGTGTTCATAACATGTCTTATATATATTTAAAAACTAAAAATTTAATCTCCATAAACTATATGTTATATGTTCATAAACTAATATATTTCAAAATTTAAAGCTTAATATTGGTTATTATAATAATTCATAGATACATTGTTATTGAGTCATTGACAACAAGTTTAACGCGGAAAGATCCTGATCCCTGTGGATCGAAAGGGAGACTAGACTGGAACGGCACGGCTCCCCTAATAATATCCATAAATGACTTGTTTTATATATATATATATATATATATATATATATATATATATATATATATATAAAGCTATCTACAATATAAGTTAAATAAAATTAATGTAGGGATCGTTTGGTTCAAATTATATAACATAACCAAAGGAATGTGAAATTCAAAATGTCAAGGGGGCGTTTACTAACAGGAAATTTTCGAGAATTTCCAAAAATTAAAAATAGAAAACAGTGGAGGTGTTTACCATTTTCTTTTTCCATTTCCAAAATAGAGAATTATTCTCTACTTTTGCAAGAAATCAGGAACACGCCTCCAAGTTGTTTTCAAAACAAGAAATCACGCGTGAACAGTGAAAGATACCCGTGAACCACCCATCGACTCCAGCCAAGAGTACCTTCTCCTTATTTTCTTCTTTCTTCTTCCTTCTCCTATTCTTCAGAGTTCAGAGAATAATGTCGACCTATACTCTACCACCCGCCACCCATCTATTTTCCTTCTTTTCAGACCTTCACACCCATTCCTTCCTTTACATTTATTTCGTTTACCGATCTTAGTTGCTGCTACTACCTGAGAGAGGTGCTACCTGAGGAGGATCCGTCGTCGCTGCCGACCTCCGGATCCACATCCTCTCGCCACCATGCCAGAAAACCCACGAAAGAGATCGTCAGAGTCCACAGACCACCGTCTGACACCCATCCGCCATCGTCAGTCTCACAGTCCACAGACCATCGCCAGGCTCCAAGTCCACCGCGAAGTGCTGCTGCCGGCTCGCCGACGTTCCAAGCAGGTAATTGTTTTTTTTTTTTGTTTCTTTTTCAATCTCTGTTGATTGATGTTTGTTTTGAAAATTTTTGCTTGTTTACCATGGTTGAATTGTGCTGCGAATTTAGCTCCTGCTTTTGCTATTCCATTTGCCTCTGATTTAGAGGCAACCTACCAAATTTATTAGCCTTATTACTTTATGAAAGGGAAAAAAAATCGCAGAGTAGACATGATGAGCACTGAAGCTAAAAGATTGACTAGGATCCTGGTATGAAAATAGGAGCAAACATTTTGCTGTAGTGTTTTGGATTTCTGGAATGCTTAAATGAACTTAGACTTTGTAGATAATTTTCTGTCCTAGATGAATTTTGGCACTTCCTATTATGCTAAATTTCAACCTTCTCTTATTTTATTTGTATTCATGTGGTGTTAAAGTGGATAACAACATTGAATGATCCAAGGATTTGTCTGATTTAGTTAAAGATTTGATATTACTTTGCTATGTGATTATTAGATTATGTGTAGAGGCACAATCACTTTGGAGTAAAATAGCATTGATTACTTCTGTTTGGTTGCATTTTAATGTGGAGATTAAAAGGAGTAGGAACCTGCTACTTACTTTTTGCTTGGTTGTCATTTTACTAAGAATGTATCAATCCATTTTGGCTGGTTGTTTATAGTGTGAATACTGCATAGTAGTCATTGTCCATGTATGCACCGAACATGCTTATTACAGCATTAAGTTCTTGCCAGAGCTGTTATTTGTGTGATTTTCCACCTGCTATTAATGCTTTATCTGTTCATCCTCTATGTGGTTTTTTTGGTTTACATTTTCTAATTGTTTTAATGGAGCTAACTTGGATTTGATCAGCTGGCTTATCTCATGATTATAAGATAGCTTATTCACCCCAAAAGACGGAGTCACCAAAATCATCAGTTGGATCGTGCCTATCACCACGTTCCAGAGTAATGTCCTTTCTAAATCTGTTTTTTCTGTATGTATTTAGTTGTTGTTCTCTGGCATGTTATTTTTGTAATATGTTGATTGTGGATTATATTCTGTTATTGCTAATATATTGTTGCTGCTGTTTTTGTGAATATATTCCTGACTTAAAAAAAAAAAATTCATATTGTCTTGGAAGAAATAGAGTAGAATATGGTAGCTAATATGGTAGCAGAATAGGCAGAATATGTTATGCCTGGTTTGCCTCTGGTTTTGGTTCATTAATTTTGTACTATTGGTTTTGCTTACTTGTTTTGTTACAAGTCCATTTTGGAGTAAATTTGATGGAATGAAGCCTATATTTGGTAGAAATCAAACAATAATGTGACACTGAACATCACAATATGAAGCCTTTACTATCAAGTTTTGAGCAAATTATACTCTGATAAACAAGGTTGATCCTCTTATATTCTGTTGTTGCTAATATGTAGGTTTCTTACTTGTATGTATACTTTGTTCTACTTTGTTTCAAAAAAAGGGAAGGAAGTGCAAATGATTCTCGCATATTCTTAGATGCAATTTCAAAGTCTGGAAGTGATTTTCCTTGCCACCCGAAAGTAAGAGTATTCGAATAACTTATTAATTTCAATAATTTAACTTAGCGTAATTTAGTACTTATTTAAGTATATTCTTTTTTCTCAATTTAATAGGTTATTACTACGTTGTTGATGGTGGTTATCCAAATGCACCCGGTTTTTTGGCACCATACCGCGAGGAGCGCTATCACTTGAATGGCTTTCGTGGGCAAGGGCGAATACGAAATAAGCAAGCTCTATTTAATTATTGACACTCATCATTGCGGAATGTGATTGAGTGGAAATGATACCATACAATTAGATATGACTATATGAGTCAACAATACCAAATGCTACAATTGCGTGAGGACATCGAAATGCACTCTTCTAGACAAATTATAATCATTGATTGTGTACTCAATTTTATTTGCAATGTTTTGTAATAACATTTCGTCACGAAACAACTTATTTTAAATTATTGTAGTTAATATGTTTTCTAATGACATTTACTTTGTCACGAAATAACTTATAAATATATGTATGTAGTATATTTTTAATTTACTAAATGGAGAATGAATTTCGAAAATAAGTACAAGTAAACAAGTTTTCAATTTCAGTTTTCAAAAACAGAGAATTGAAAACAGAGAATAGAAAATAGAGAATTGAAAACAGAAAATAATTTCCTGTTAGTGCAGAAGAGGTTGACAAGAACATGATGATTTGGATATCATGTTGGAATTGCATCATCTAGGTTTAGTAACCCTCTGGATGTCAGAGAAGAGTGTGTTAAAAAGTGGTAAAGAGAAACCTATTATGCCAAGTAGAAAATGTAGGGATGACGGGATGATAATTTCACCTGAACCTGACAAGGAGCCTAATTCCCCTCCCCGATGAGGTTAGGGATAGGAGTTCCCCATCCTCAAAATTTCCTTGCAGAAACGAAGATGAGATGGGAACATATTCTTTCCCCCGGAAGGGAGCAGGGAATATGTCCCCACCCCGCCTTGCCTTGTTGCCATTCCTAATAAGAGGACAACTAAAGAACAAGAAACCATACAACACACTAAAAGTACTTACAGTTGGTGCATTGATTGGCCGGCGCTGTCTGCTGGGCACACCATTTGATTCCGATATCAACTCTGGACTGCTTAGCTTATAGAATGTCTGCAATGCTGTTGTAACAAATGGGCGCACCACATTTGCTTCCATTGCCGATAGATTTTTAAGCTGCAAATGTAGTTGATTCAGTGTGATAGTGAGAAAGGTTAATAAACAAAACTCTTTGCATCTTTTTTGATGACGAGGGAAACCCCACAACCTTTTCGGGGTAGGTAAACACTGCCTTGTGACTCTAGTCGGCAAAGGATCACAAGTAAACCAATCTAAGTTACCCATAGCTAACCAGCTCAAACCAATGAGGCAAGGATTCAAACTCGTGACCTTGAGGTTACAAGTGTGAATCTCTTGCCATCTTAGCTAGAGTTACCCCTACTCTTTGCATCTTTGCATTGCAGAATATTGTCCCAACACGAAAAATAAAACCCTTTTTCCTTTAAAGCATTTGAATATCCATTGTAGTAAAAGCCAGCAACTTATTCAAGACAAATCATATTGTGTGAGATATGATTTCAAAATAATAATAAAGTGGAGTGCTATCAGGAGCATTTCTAGCCAAAAGATCCATTCCTAGGCAATAATACATTCTTATCATTTTCACTTCATCCAACATTATTTTAGAAATGCAGCACATATATGTAACTTCTTGGAGTGTAAAAGAACAAAGTAAACTAAGATTTATGAATTCCCTATTACTATACCACCAAGACTAAATTCATCAATCAAACAAGAGCTGCACTCATGGTTGCACCATTATTGCATCCTTACAGAAAATGGATAATTGAATCATAGTAAGGGCATAATATGATCCAATGAAAAGTTTGCCACTCTTAACTATAAGTTCAAAGAATTTCATTTAACAGCATAACAAGCAAAGATCTTTGTGGAGTAAAAGCATACCCTCAATGCAGAAGTGCGCTCCTTGGATATAATCTCCAAGCCAGTCCCTATCTTGTGGAATCTTACATCCTTGATATCCTCAATTAGAGACCACACCTATCGAAAACATCTACTTAAAATTTTAGGAAAAGTAAATATGTAAAGTATCAAAGTAAGTTCAGGTTGAGACTAAAGAGTGGACTAACCATATAGACATCTGGTATGTCCTCGCGGGCACTACATCACCATATATTGACATCAGTAACTGAGAAGATCAACTAAGAAGAATGAAAACTACTGCAATATGTTTCTTACTGATAAAAAAAAATCCTCGAGATTTCAACATAATGAAATGGTAATGACTGGAACCCTTCAGAATCCCTTTCTGCTTCCAAGACCTGAGTTAACTTCTCTAAGTGATGGCATAAAAATTAGTATCAAATAACCAAAACCCTCAACAATAATCCATAAAAAATTACAAACGAGAAAGGAATGGAACTATAGAAATGTTTACATAAAGTTCTAAACTATATACATAACACAGAATTCTCTGAATAGCATCCAAAACAATCAATGGTTGATTTTAGATACTAACCAATCACCTTTAATAAAAATCATATAATTCCATGAGAAGAAGCCTTAATTATTGAACTCTCTAGCTTCTAAATCATTATAAGAATGACCAAATTATATACCTAACATAAAATTCTCTGAACATCACCCAAAACAATCAATGGCTGATTTTAGTTACTAACCCATCACACCTCAAATAACAATCATATAATTCCATGAGAAGAAGCCTTAATTATTGAGCTCTCTAACTTCTAAATCGTTACAATAATTACCGAATTTGAGTTTGATTGATAGTAACCATTCACTCACCAATTGACATCCATTCAGGAGGTCTGATAGTGCATTTCCCTCTCTTCTTCAGGGCCACTGCCAGCCACAGTGGAACCTGTATGGCTATTTGGGGGCAAAAAGGGCCAAAATCTCCCTGTCAATTACACAAATTGAAATTACAGGTTTTGAGATATGGATATGAATAATTGAAGAATAAACAAACTAAAATGATGTGAAATTGAAAGAGGAAAATGAATACGCAGATCAAATTTAGGGGTTCCATTCTCATGTTGGGCACAATTTCGACCATCTCATCCTCCGCGAGAAACTCCAACTGCAGGGTTTAACAGGAAACTAATGCAATGACTTTCAGAAATTAATCAAATTTCAAGAATAATTTTTTTTAAGAAGAACAAAACAAAATTTGATTCGCATATTTACAATACCTTAGCAGCTGAAATGGCAGATGCCTGTGGATCGGATTGACTGGCCATTGTGTTTGTGTTTTTTTACTCTTTGAGTGCGTTTGAATGGAACGGACTGCTGTGCGAATGGTGTGGGAGACTGGACAAGCCCTTGTTTTTTGTCTTTTTTTTTTTTTTTTTTTTTTTTTTTGGCGGGAAAACTGAAAAACCGATTTATAACCGACCTGAAATCAAACAAAATAATAATCGATATAAAAAACGAACAGAATTACATTATTCCGAAATTAATAATTAAAATTTGCAATTATGGGAATACTAACCTTACTGTATCACTGTTAAAATTTCATAACATTTCAGCAATATTTAGTTATTTATGCCCCATCCCAATAGTAAAAATTCAACCTTATTGGCATATAAAATAGCAGAGTCGCAGCCTTGCAGGGATGAAATCCGTTTGAAATTAATATACAAAAATTTTACCTGCAGTGTCTATTGCAACTTGATTGGTGTCTGGTGAGGTTCACCTGTCGCCTAAGTTTCGCCGTTCACCGGGGACGGGGGATTGTGGGATTGTGGACTAGTGCTTAGACAGGCAATGAGTTCACTTGTTGCAATCGTTATACCCTGCACCACGAAGCGCGCAGCACTGTGCGCTCCGCGCCTCCCAAAACGACGTCGTTTTGGGAGGCGCGGAAGGGGGTTGACGTGATTATGTGTATTTGTTTATATCATTATGTGTATTTATTTATACAATTATGTGTACTTTTTATACAGCTATGTGTGTTTGTTTATACAATTATGTGTATTTGTTTATACAATTATTTAAAACGACGTCGTTTTGCATCAGGGCGCACAATGCAATGCGCGCGCTGGTGCACGATATAAATTGCCCACTTGCTGAGTTGAGGCTTGAGAATTGAGGACTAGGGATGTTAATCGGGCAAGCCCACTCTTTTTTAGACTAGTCTTGTCGGACTATTGGGGTTATCGGTTCGGGCTTATCGATTATTTTATTATTTTATTTTATTTTATTTCGGGTTCGGACTAGGGATAAACCTCGGGTTGTCGGACGGGCTAAATCATCTAAACTAAAATTAAAAACTGAAAATAAATACTTACATTCGATAGAACGGGATGAACATTGAGCACAATAAAATTTAAATAAGTAGTAGCGAATAGTGATTACCCACACCGGAAGATCGGGATCTCTTGGAGCGTAGCACTAAGAAATCCAAACGTGATGCTCGATCGCCGGAGGGTTTAGCAAGGGAAGCTCGAGAGGTGGTTCAGGACACACCTATGGAAGAGATCCAGGCGTACGAGGCCACGCAGGACCACCCCCGTAGATCGACGCCACCGCTTTCATATAGAGATACAGTGGCAGGTTTGAGCGGCACACCTCTGCCTACGCCGGCAGGGGACCAGGCTGATGACGATGGCCATTCTGACGAAGAGGATGCGGAGGAGGAAGATGATCCATTCCGTCTGGTCATCAGGCTCACCAATAAGGAGAAGGAGGAGTTACGCAGGCCATAGCGACAAGCATTGATAGTCAAAGCATGGGGAAAGCAAGTCGGCTACTCGTTCTTTCTGCGACGTCTGCGTATGTTATGGAGGCCGAAGGGCAGCATGGACCTGGTGGCGCTGGATAATGACTATTACTTAGTCAAATTTGGATCAACGGATGACATGGAATTCGTGAAGTTTGAAGGCCCATGGATGATCCTCGATCATTACCTGATCATTAAAGAGTGGACACTAGATTTCGACCCGATGACGGACAAAACGAGGAAGGTTTCGGTATGGATCCGATTCCCATGTTTACCTATAGAGTACTATAATGCCAAGTTCTTGCAAAGGATATGGAAGAAGGTAGGACGGCCCATCCGGGTGGATCACGCAACAGGGCAGGCGTCGCGGGGGAAATTTGCACGTATGTGCGTGGAGATCGACATCGCTAAGCCGCTGATCTCAAAGTTTAGGTTGTGGAAGCGCATGCGGTTTATCTCTTAAGAGGGGATACATTTGGTTTGTTTCAATTGCGGGATGTATGGGCACAACCACGAGGGTTGCCCAAAGGAGAATAAATTATATTTTGCAGGCCGCCCGGAGGTGCCACGGTTAACCCACCAACCCAAGGACGACCTATAAGGTACAACGAGGCTAACAGAAGACAATTCCTTTGCAGAAGGTGTAGCAAGGATCATAAGGGCAAGTATTGCTTCGGAAACGCCTTACGGTGCTTCAACTGCGGAGGAGAAGGACACAAAGCTTTCCAGTGCACCCAACCCCCAAGTGCAAGACTTGCAATCGCAGTCCAACAAGGGAACGCGAACAACCGAGGGAGCTACGGGGCACCCGGAAAGGTGTTCGTCATCAGCCGCACCCAAGCCGACCTCGAAGCCGAAGTCGGAATCGGCACCGAAGGTGTAACACCCCAGATTTTTCGAAACTTTTTAAAACTCATATAATAAAAGTAATACTATTATTAATACCGAAATAGAGCATACTAAACATCAGAGTTTGGGGTGCTATGCCACATCTGAGTTGGAAAACTTAGATGCACAGGCTATACTAACTAAATATCCTCAAAGCAATGTCAATACATCATCATGGCACGCAGGCCGAAAGGAAAACTATCTATTTATGCTTCGGTTCTCTAGCGCGCTCCGGAGTCTACTCATCTGTGCCTGAAAGCCAAATATATCTGTTCAGCGAGTGATGCTGGTAACCCACTCCAACGCGTTAAAATACAATATAGGTATATATATATATATATATATATATATATATATAGGATTATATTCAGATACAAACAGTGCTTGAAATACAAACAGTGTGGATTCATCTAGATCGTTGGATCATGGGTTTGGATGTCCAGGATTTTATTAAATATTTATGGTAGTTTTTAATTATCCGTTTTTGTGTTTTATTTTAAGCGGGGGCATTTTTGGTTTTTATTAGTTTGTAGTCGTTCAATTGGGGTAGAATTAGAATTAGAAGTCCAACAGGCGCGCCTTTCCCGGTCACTCGCTCTCTCTCTCGCGTTCCCTTGTGTCGCTGCCAGTGCGCCTCCCTCGCCGTTGATCGCCTCCTTCATTAGCGGCCTGAAGATGGTCACCAGACGGGACTGCGGTGGTGCCAAGCGTCGTGGATCACCATTGGATGGCTTAGGTCGAGGTATTTGTTTCCCTCTTTTTCTCCTTCTACGTTGTTTTTGCTCGGGTTTAGCGGGAATCACCAGACGGTTGTGTATGGTAATCGCAGGGTGGGTTGGTTGCCGAATTGTTCTGAAAGTTTGGGTTTTTGGCAGATTATTGCTTGTCTTCAGTTTTTGTTGTGAGTTGCTTCTTTATTTAGGAATTTTTGTTCTAGATTTGGTGAGTGATTTCAATATAGTGTGCATTGTTATACAGATTTGTTATTTAGTCTTGGTTAGTCGGATTTCGCTCTTGTGGTGGTACAGTCCGTGGTTATCAAGATCAGAGTTGGTTGAATGATGAACTATAAAACTCTTTTAATCTGTTTTTTATTTTTAATAAAGCACTCACCTTTCTTAATCTATTGTCTATAGATAACAAACTGTTGACAACCAATTATATTTCAAAACATGAAATTATAGAAATTATTATTATTATTATTATTATTATTATTATTATTATTATTATTATTATTATTATTATTATTATTATTATTATTATTATTGATGCTCTAATTATTTATGCCTAGACGGTAGGCTGAAACTTAGAGGTAACTAACATCATTTGACAGAACCAAGTTAGATTATAATATCACATTCAGGAAATGACACATAAATCATCTCTAAATAATTATAATAAAGGATGAAAATATATTGTGAGTAGTTTTATTTTAATTTAAAATAAATTAAAAGTTCAATCATGCTCCATTAAATTTCTTGACCACAATATTGTGTGTGTAGCGTGGGAGTTTGAATGTTAAAAGTGTGTGGTTATATGGGTTGATGTGTGCACTTATTGTGTTATGTTTGTGCACTCATGGCGTGTGTATATAATAGGTGTGTGCATGATTTGGTAGGAGTGTGTGCATTACAGTACTACAATGTTGCATGTTGTGCTAGGGTTGAGAGTGTATGGTTATATGGGTTGACGTGTGCACTTATTGCATTATATTTGTGCACTCATGGTGTGTGTATGTAATATGTGTGTGCATAAATTGTTAGGAGCGTATGCATTACAATAATACGATGTTGCATGCTATGCTGGGGTTGAGAGTGTGTGGTTATATGGGTTGATGTGTGCACTTATTATGTTATATTTGTAAACTCATGGTGTGTGTATGTAATAGGTGTGTGCATGAATTGTTAGGAGTGTGTGCATTGCAGTATTATGATGTTCCATGCTGTGCTGGGGTTGTTCTGTTTTAATATTGGGTGGGACATTGTTGATATCTTTTGTTTTATGTGATTGTTGTAGCTAAGAGGTCGAATGTATCGCAACGTGAACGTGACTACTGCCTCACAGAGTTGTGTTAGCGAGGATAACTTCGTTTCACCACCTTTGGCCTTCCTTCAAAGGTTGCAAGATGACCCACTGTGGAATGAATGCCCCTGATTATGAGTTAGAGGATGTAGGAAGACCCGCGGTGAAATGTCCCTGTAGGAGTTTGATGTTTTTTTAACACTTTGTAATACCTACAGTTTGTGACTATCCCATGGGGAAAATTTGATGATAATCTTGTGTATAATATGTTTTTTGTTGCCTCACAGTTAGTAAATATATACATGTGTGCACATTGGCATTAAAATGTGTGCGTGGTCAACTAAATAAATTTCAACGGTGGATATTTACTAAATCAATTTTACATAAGTGACTATTAGATGATTAGCTTGTAGGCTTAGTTTATAAACAAGTATGTGCACAGTTGCGTTAACTGGGTGCATGGATAAAAACTAGATAAATTTCACAAAAGCGATTAGCTCAATATTGTCCTATACATACGCTTAGTTTTTAAACACATGAGTGCTCATTGGCTTTAATTATGTGCACGCACAACTAAATAAATTTCACCCGTCGGTAAAAATTAAATAAATGATTCATCACATTACTATTCTACATATCTATCTCTAAGCTCTTGGCATAGCAATACAAATTTTTGTTTTCATTATACAAATTTTTTTTCATTATGCGCACAGTACTCACAGCATCTAATAGCCACGGTTTTTTCCCCACCATTACAATTCAAAATCATATGAAGTAATTCAGTGTGCACTACAGATGTATTGGTGTGCGTTAAGTTCCTACGTGAAGTCTATTCTGAAACCTATAGACTGTATCATCTAACTACTTCTATTATAAGTCATTTAAGGAAACAAACAAAGTACAGTGTATTATGTATGCACGGATTTGAATTAATGTCTGTGTGCATTTCATTAAAACACGAATATTTGTTCGTGAATGTCACCATTATGAATCCATCATGTTTTTCGTGTTATATTTATACGTGCACATAGTTCCGTGTGGGTGTGCACACTGCGGTACATGGCGTTATATGTGTGCATAAAAGCGTCTAAGTGTGTGCACAACTAGTTCGTGTGTTGCGTTAGTTTGCATTAACCGTGTTTACCCCCATATGTCACCCCAATCGAACACCTATATTCATTTATCCCCTCATTATTGTGTGAACTATTGTGTGGAACATATTTTGTATATTGTAAAATAATGTACATTCAGTTCAAAAATAATGTACATTGTTTTCGGGGGATGTACATTATTTTTGTACTGAGTGTACATTATATTGTATAATATATTTTCAGTACAAAAATAATGTACATTCAGTATATTAAAAATGTACTTTTTATTATGGTACACATAACACTGTGTGAACCATAGTCTACACAATAATTTGCCGCCCCTCATCAACCCCCAACTATTCTGCATCTTCCCTTCCACCATAGACGTTTGTGTGCTTCTTGAAGAATTATTGTCCTTCTTGCATTCAAATTCAAATCTTTCCCTTAATTAAGGCTTGCATTGAAATTTAAATCCTTCCTTAATTATAATTCCTAAGATCCTGCGTGATATTCTTTTAATTTCTAATATTATCAAATTTTACATTGTGAATGCATTACCTTAATTACCCTTATTTTAGATTACGCTTCTAATTAGTATATGCTAGTTCTCTAAATCTGAGACGTCAAAACCCTTTAATCCAATGGTCTCATTTTGTCCACAAGTTTGTATTTTAAGGGTGTTTGCATGTGAATGCAACCATATATATATATATATATATATATATATATATATATATATATATATATATAGCAAAACCATTTTGAAGCCGAAAGATATATACTTAGGAGACTCTAGCTTTAAAACCAGGAATAGACTCGACAAGTAGGGATAAGCACATTCAGCAGTTATAATCAAGCATATAAAGACACTAGCATATATCCTAAGGTCGCAGGTTAATTTCACATCATTCATATCATCATTCAATCAATGTCTTATCATATAAGCACACTTTGGTGGCGCCACAGGACCAATCACATGCCCATACATGAGGGTCAGCGCATATAGCGCTAACACGGCCCCGTCGCAATTAATAAGTTAGCACCCCTGTCTGAAAATTGAGGGAACTAAATAAGCAAGCCCTCACAGGAATATCAGTCATCACTCAAGTGTTTGATGGGTATAAATTTCAATCAAGTTCATTCCTATAAAATTGCTCTACCATAGGCTTGCATATCTTCTCAATCACCACTACAAGAGTCATGCATGACACAAATCATAAGGACTTTCCACAGGTTGTAGTGGGGCTAGGGTTAAGGTAGGGAATATTTAGGAAAGTAGCTTAAACAAAAGCTTTCAAACTAGAGGAGCGAATAAATACAAAAATCCAAGATACTTGCTCAACACCAAGTATAGAATGCTTCCTCAGTATTACCAGAATTTCCCCTTACTTCATTTATTTAGAAGTAACTTCAGACTCAGAACAAACTGCTGATTCTTTCTCATTTTTTCATAAATTTTCAGCAATATTTTTCTTTTTCAAACATATATTCTCCATTTTTCCATTTTTTTATTTTTTTCAATTTCCATATATTTTTTTGGAATCATGAATTGTCTTCGTTTTCTTTTTCATAGAAGACCAGTGACAAATCGGCAATGAAGATACAACCCACCTCATTCTCCATCATATTAACACAAGAAAGTGACCTCCCCCACACTTCTTCCTCACAACCTCACGTAGATTTCAAGCATAATCCAAAATTTGCTCCACTAGTTATTCAGCTGGGTGAAGGCATTATTTTTAGATATAAAAGGCTTGTAATGTGGTTCAAAATAAAGAAAAGAATGGCCATAAAGCTCAAAATGGTTAACAAGGGGAAATAAATCATAGGACAAACCGGTTATTTGGCTAGTGAGGCTCAAGATCAAATAATGGCCTTAATCACACTTGAATCATGCATGGTCTAATTAGCTTTAAAAGAGAATCAAGGCAAGTTCTAGAGAAACAAAATTATGGAAGAAATCGCACAATAGAAAGAAAATAAGACCGAAGTGTCAGTCAATGGCTCAAAATCTCACAGGTTTATTGCTTACTTAATCTAGATACTACATATCGAACAGGAAATGCTAACAAATTAATCACAACTTGCCAAACTATTTATTCAATCATGTTATTAATTTCAAGAAAGGAATTTTTTTTTCAAAATAATACTTATTTTTTTTCAAAATAATACTTATTTTGCATAAAATACTAGTAAAAAATTTGTGAAAATTTTGACATAAGCAAACAAATAATAATAAATCTAAATCCCCTCCCCCACACTTATTATCAACATTGTCCCCAATGTTGAATAAAAAAGCACAGAAAAGGGGTTATTGAATGAGAAATGGAATAAAAGAAAAAAAATGGAACAAACACACCTTAGGTTGCCTCCCAAGCAGCGCCTTTGTTTATCGTCGTTGGCTCGACTTATGATATTTCTTTAAATTTCCATCGTCTTTTTGAGTACCTTCGATGATTATGAATATTCAAAGAAACAGTCCCTTCATGCAGATTAGTACTCAAAGATGATTTATTATTTCTTTCTTTTTCATTCGAAGAAATTTCATCAAATGTAACAAAGTTCAAAGAATCAACAAAAATTGCAAAATTATCATGACTAGGAGATTTCATGGTATCATAAATATTAAAAGTCACAAGTTTACCATTAGACTCCATAGTAAGCATACCACTATGAATATCAATTTTTGTTTTTGCAGTTTTTAAGAATGGCCTTCCTAACAAAATATGATTATTATTTTTCATATCAAGCACATAAAAATCAGCAGGAAAAACCAAGTTATCAATTTCAACAATCAAATCCTCAATCACACCCCTAGGATATGTAGTAGATCCATCAGCCAATTGAATTATTATACTAGATTTATTCAGGGGTCCAAGATTTAAAGAAGCATAAACAGAATATGGCATGACATTAATAGAAGCTCCTAAATCTAACATAGCATTTTCAAATTTCACCCCACTTATCATGCATGGAATAGTAAACATACCTGGGTCTTTGCACTTTTCAGGAAGATTGCTTTGACTAACCATAGAGACATTCTCTTGCACTTGCACTTCCTCAATTCTTTCATTATTTCGTTTCTTTTTCATAGTGCGTACCTCTTTTAGAAAATTTGCATAGCGAGGTACTTTTTTCATAGAATCTAAAAGTGGTTTATTAGCATCACATTCACGAAAGGTCTCATACAGATCATTATTTGAGTTTCTTCTTTTTGGTTCTAAAAGAGCTTGAGGAAATGGGGGTACTGGTTCATAATCAGAAAAAGAAGAAAGCTTACCTTGGGACTTCTCTTTATTGTTGGCAATGATTTCTGCACTTATTTCCTTATTTAAATCAACATTCTTTTCCAGTGACATACTTTCAACATTAATTGCACTTACACTCTCTTTTGGATTAACCACTGTTTGAGAGGGTAGTTTGCCAGAACTCTGTGCTTCCAACCGACTAACCGTAGTTGCTAGTTGGCCCATTTGTCTTTCCAAGTTT